TTGTACAAAATGGAAACAAGGACAAAATTGCTAAGGATGAGTGTGAAAGAATAGCACAAACAAGCAGGAACAAAATCAGAAAGACTAAGTCCTGGTCTATACTGGGGGGAGGGAGAGGGAATCGATCTAACTTACGCAACTTCAGCTATGTGCATAGCGTAGCTGAAGTCGACGTACTTAGATCTACTCACCGTGGTGTCTTCACTGCAGTAAGTTGACGGCTGACGCTCTCCCATCGACTCTGCCTGCGCCTCTCGCCCTGGTGGAGTACCGGAGTCAACAGGAGAGCGCTCGGCGGTCGATTTATTGTGTCTAGACTAGACACGATAAATCGACACTCCCCTCCCGGATCGATCGCTGCCTGTCGATCCAGCGGATAATGTAGACAAGCCCTAAGGCGCAAAATGAGGTACACCTAATGAAAGACAAAAGGCAGTAAGAAGAGGTTCTATAAATACATTGGGGCAAGAGAAAGATAAAGGAAAGTGTAGGTCCATTACTTACTAGGGAAGAAAAGCTTATAACAGATGACACAAAGAAGACACAAGTGTTTAATGCCTATTTTGCTTCAGTCTTCACTAAAACAATTCACTAGATGCATCACCCAATATTAACAACAAGGAACACCGGACAGAATAGGGAATTAACAGGTTAAAGAATACTGAGGTAAGTTAAATATTGTATTCAAGTTGACAGGGCCTGATGAAATTCATCCTAGAGTACTTAAGGAGCTAGCCAAAGCAATCATTTTCAAGAACTCATGGAGGATGGGGAAAGTCCCAAAGGATTAGAGAAGGGGGAACCTGATACCTATCTTCAAAAAGGGGAACAAAGAGGACCCGGGAAATTATAGACTTATCAGCCTAACTTGCATACCTGGAAAGATACTGGAACAAATTATAAAATAAACAATTTCTAAGCACCTAGCAGATAATAGTATGATAAATAATAGGCAACATGGATTTTGCAAGAATAAATCATGCCAAACCAATTAATTTCCTTCTTTGACAGGGTAACTGTCCTAGTGGATAGCAGGGAAGCAGTAGACTTTAATAAGGTTTTTGACACAGTCCCACGTGACATTCTCATAAGCAAACTAGGAAAATGTAGTCTAGATGAAATTACTATAAGCTGGATGCAGGACTGATTTGAAAAAGTGTACTCAGAGTAGTTCTCAATGGTGATTCTTCGAATGAAAGTCCCTATTTGTATTCCACAGGTGGGTTTGCATTGGCTCCATGTGCCCAAGTCCAGAAATTCTTCAAAGGAGTGTCCGTTGACCTGCACATGTGTGGTAGACCCTCATGCTTCAGACCCAGGGTGTAAAATGCAGTGTGGGTCAACGCCTCTCTAGTTACTTCTTACCACCATATGGCCTGAGTCGGAATAGTGTCCTCCTTCACTCTGTGTATAAACTATAACACACAATATTTGTAAATAGTTTTTCTGTATTTGTTTAAGAAGTTTGTTGTTATAGTATAGTATAGAGTCATTTCCCAACCCACTCTCTGGTCTAGGACTATGCCCAGAGTCCCGAGCTTCAAGAATTGTGTCTTCTGCAGTCACTCCTTCTGCATCAGTGATAAGTATCCATGGTGCTTCTACTGTATGGGTGAAGCACATATCTCTGCACACAGCAGTATCTGTAGATCCTTTTCCACCTAGAACTCGAGAGGTCCAGGAGCTCCAACTTAGCCTCCTCTATCAGGAACTTTGTATGAGGTCCTGCTCTGATCTGGGCCTGAGAGACCCCCCTGTACACTGGCCTCCACCAACCAGCAGTGCCTCTCCAAAATATGCGTTAGAGTGGAGTCAACCCCAAAGCCAAAGGACTCTTTCTCCAGGCCTCCTCTTGAGAGTAGAGAGCACTCTCAAAGTGCAAGGACAGAGGACGGTCCATAAGAAATGCATTCTGTTCCTGAGCTGGTCCAGTTCAGGTGAGACACTGTGTTTGGAACCATGGAACTGGCTCCACTAAGACCCCTAGGTTGGAGGGCAAGGCATGCAAAAAGAAGGATCAGTCAGTTCCGACTGAGACTGTGGTACCAAAACGGAAGGACAGATGCTCACCAGTTCCTTATACATGTGTGGGTCTGGACTCATTGTTGGTATCACCTTGTTCATCTAAAGACTGTTCAGATGCAACAGATGAGTCAGGCATATCTGCTGAAACTCCCTGGGCCATACAGACTTATGTAACACCAGAGGATATTTTCCTCCCCTACCCACAGTCTCCACTGCTTTCTGGCCCTGATCTTGTGAGGGATGTCCGCGTTCTGGAGGAAGAATCTTTACTAATGTCTCAGAATTCAGCAGTTCCATCTCCAACCATCGGGCAGGAGTGTTCCAGTACCAATGACATTGCTGTTACCAACAGAACAGTCCTCAGAATTGGAAGAGGAGATAGCTGCATCAGTATTTCCACAGAAGGACAGGAGACCCGGCAGATAGTTGAGAGGCTATACTTACCATCCCTCCGGTATGACCCCCTTTGCCCCCAGCACCACTGGTACCAATTCCTCTGGGAGCCATTGCGACTGATGGATCCCTCCTTCTGGCCTTATTGTGGACCACAGGATTCCTATGGCAGGAGTCTGAACCCCTCTCATGAGTTGTACCACTTCTCGCCAGCCGGTTCCATTGGTGTATGAGGTGGAGGAGCCAGAACCAGTTCTATCACAAAGCTCCTATCAAAACAGCAGAACACTGAGCAACAACAGTTGAGCCAGCATTCTGGTCACTGCAGCTTCAGTTAAACACTGCAGAAGAGACCTTATTAAGAACTGTGTCTGACTGATGTGTGGAGAAGAACTGGAAGGCTAATTAAGCTGTTGGCGGAGGATACAAAAAGGCACAGGACAGAAGTGAGGGGGAGGAGCAGACAGGAGCTGAGGGCTCCCTAAAACTGTAGGAGTTAAGACTGTATAGTGTACAAGGGTGGTGGGAACCGACATTATAAATAAGTTGCACTGGCTGTTTTACTAGCATAAAGGTCTCTGTGCTGTTTTTGGACTTGAGCAGAGGCCCTGCCACAGACTGCTGCTTCATCATCTCCGGACAATGCTGTCACTTAGTCATTGCTTTCTCCACCAGATGACAGTCAGTACTAGGAGCTGTTATGTAGGGTTGCAAACGATCTACAGATCCCAGTAAATTAGTTCAGGATCCTCAATACTGGTTCCTAGCCTTTTTGCAACCAAAGGGACTGAGTAAGGTGGCCTTTCCAATTAATGAGGCTATACTAGAGCCAGCCAGAGTGGTATGGCACACACCAGCATCTTGTGTCCCTACACCAAAAAAGGTTGAGATGTGATTTTGTTTCTGCCAAAGAAACTGACTTTTTATTTTCTCATCCTGGCCTCAACTCATTGATGGTACAGGCAGTCCTGGAAAGAGTTGAGTCACACTACCAGAAATCCATCCTGGCAGCAGAGACTGGACTTTCTGGGAACAAAGATCTGCAATTTCATATGGCTAACTACCAAGCATTGTTAGTGAAATACGATTTTAACAGCTATGCCAGGCTTGCAGACTTTAAAGATAAACTTCCCATAGAGGACAGAACCCAGTTCCAGTCCCTTCTAGGCAGTGGCGTAGCCAGCTTCTAAGAGGAGCGGGAGCAAACATAAAAAAGGCGCCCCCC